ACGGCGAGCAGACGTCGCTGCACTCACTTCGGCACGGCGGGGCGTCCGACGATCTCCTATCGGGCCGTCGGACGCGCAAGGAGGTCAAGGACCGCGGGCGCTGGCGGACGGACCAGTCCCTGAACCGCTATGCAAAGCGGGCGCGGATGCAGCAGCGGCTGGAGCAGCTCTCACCCGCGCTGGTGGGCTTCGGCGACAAGGTCGAGGCCAGGCTACTGCAGCTGATGGAGGTGACGGCCAGGACGGGCATCTTCCCGCTCCATCTGCCACCCCTGATGCCCGCGTCGGCGCCGGCGGCAGGGAAGACTGCGCCCGCGCTGACTGATCAGTGGAGGTTCGACTGAATAGGCTGTGGCGGCGTGCCCGTTTGCGTGCCACTGTTTTGCCGTACTTCGTCACATTGTGTATCTGCGTGCCGACTCGAATCCGACTGGCCTGCGAGGATCGCGGGCTAGGAGCAGTGGCCATCAACCTTGCCAGACATCGTGCTGAGGACGCCTCGGATCCTCGGGTTGTGCAGATGCTGCTGGGCTGGGTGCGATCATCGGCCGTCTCTGGGCTGTGGGCGTCCTTGCCGTCGGCGACCTGGTCCTCCAGCGGAGCTCGATGCCGCCGCCTGGACGCCCCGCTTCAAGGCGCCGACAGTGATGACGCCACTCTTCGCGCCATTCGCGTGGCCAACGCCTTGGCAGCGTCTGTCTTAAAGCTGATTCGAGAGTGCGCGGCTCGTCAGGTGCCTGTGATTTTCTGGCGCCCAGAGTCAAGCCTGATCTGGCGACATCCACTTCTTTCCTCGCTCCTCGCCTCTGCCTCCTCTTCTTGCCCCCTCGATTCCCGCATGTTCTCGGGTCGGGTTCGGCAAAGATTGCTTTTGATCGGATGGGGCGTCCGAGATCTCAATTGCCTGTCGCGCCGTTGCCTCTGCAGCCTAGGCCTGTGTGACCGTGCCAACCGCCGCCACCTTGGCGGCCTTGGGCGCCCTGCGCTGGATGCCGCTGCACGTTGCTCAGCTCGTGGGCTTCCCTTTCAGGTAGCCACTGCAGGCACTGACATGATTAGTGGCCGCTGCTCGACAATTATCTCGTGCCGCTAGATACAAGATAATGTTTGGTCAATGATGCACTGCGGCTTGGGCCATGTGTCGTGACTAGCGTTAGTTACCGAGTCTGCGCTTCGAGGCTTGCCGTTGCTCTCGTGCGCCGTCGCCCTTCTGCACAAAAAGTACCCGATGGCCTCGAGAGAGCCCCGCATACAGCGACTTGTCGGCATTTGTGGGTTTGCATGTGGCCGCGCCTCCTTGCTCAAGTTCTTCCCTGGGCCCTCCCGCCCAACTTGAGCCGAAGAATGACTGTTGTTGTGCTGTGCTGACCGAGTCTGTGCTTCGAGGCTTGCCGTTGCTCTCGTGCGCCGTCGCCCTTCCGCACAAAACGTACCCGATGGCCTCGAGAGAGCCCCAAATCATCATCATCATCATCATCATCATCATCACCATCATCATCATCATATCAGTACCGTCGTCGTCATCATCACATAACATCACAATCGTCATCATCAGTATCGTAATCGTATCCATCGTACTAGCAACCGCCCGTGTTCAGCACAGGTACTTTCGGGCGCTATCGTCACTAACATCGCCTCATCTCGTTCACCATCAGCACAAGCATGATCACAATGGTCATTACCATCCGCATCATCAGCCACGGTATCAAAATGCTGAATAATTTTCGTCGGCCCTTGGGCGTCGCATTTTTCGCCGGCCTGACAATCTGGCCTTGGGATAATGTTCGCCGGCGTGGCACCCCCCACGACGTTCCCCCCCCACCCCACCCCACGTTTAATGTCGGAATTAGAGTGCCGCTCAAGGGTCTCTTGAAGGGTTATTGGGGGCATCTTGGGGGCTTTATTGGGGGCCTTCTTGGAGGGCCTCCCGGGGGCTTCTTGGGGACAACTTGGGAGCCTTTTGGGGCCTCTTGTGTTTGTGGGTTCTCTTCCAGGACCTAGATGTAGGCGGTGTATATGTCACCCCCCCTTCACTTGCTTTAACTCTTGCCCCCCCTCCGCTTCCAACCCCCAGTCCACCCTACAACGGCCTCTCTCTCTCTCTCTCGATTCGTTCGTCGTCCATGTGCTCCATCTCCTCAGGCGCTCGATCCTTCTTCATTCATCCTCCGTTTTCCGTCGTGTTCCTTCATTCCACATGCCGCCATTATCATATGCGTGCTCGTCTTTGGCATTATGCTTCTTATCCGCCTGCTACTATTGATTGTTCTCCCTGTGCTAGTCGATGTACTCCTGATCCTGCTCGTTGTCGCCCCTATCTCGTCATGCGTCATCATTTCACTGCTTTTCTCTTGTCCCCTCTTCGCCCCGATAGCTCCTCCGCCTCCCCCGCGTGTTCAGTTCATCCTCGTCGACGAGCCTTCTACCACGCTTGGCTCGCCGTGCTCCTCCCTCTCCCCCTCCTCGACTGTGCCCTCCTGCTCGCGGCGGAAGTCTCTGCGTCCGGCGACTGACCTTGCAGTGGACCCTGCTGGCCAAGCTTCGCTCGGGGGCGACAGTCCCCAAGAAGGAGGACGTCTCCGCCAGCACCCTGCCGCGTGGCGACGGTGGGCAGGGAGAGCATGCAGCCCCAGGGTCATTCCCTCCGTTAGGGCGCGCGAAGACGAGGGCATGCGCCAGCTCGGCAGGGGCGGGCCGTGAGAGCCAGCCCCCTTCGGGGCGTCGGCGTCTGTGGACGCGAACAGCGCGGCGCTTCGCCGTGCCGCGCCTGGCGCAGAGCGCCAGGCGAGCCCCGGGCCACGTCGCCTGCCATCTCGCCGCCCCTTCCCTGGTCCGCCACGGAGCTCGAGGGGCAGGGGGCCCCGAGCGAGCGGCGTCGCGCGGAGTTGCTCGCAGAAGCCGGTGCAGAGCAGCCTGGCTCAGGGACCGGCTTCCCAGCGCAGTGCGGGCGGGTGGGTCGCGGAGTGGGCCGCGGGCGGCTGGAACCTGAGCCAGGGCCGGAACAAAGGCTGAGACCGGGGCCGTGTCCTGGGCCTGGTCCATGGCCGGGGCAAGGACCAGGGCCAGAGTTGGGGCCGGGGCCACGTCCGGGACCGCGGCTGGGGCCGAAGTCGGGCTCCAGGCCGAGACCGGACCAGAGGCCGAGGACGGAGCCGGGGCCAAGGCCAGGGTTGGGTCCTGGGTGGCAGGGCGGGTCGCGGAAATCGTCGCGGGTGGGACGCGGGAGGCGTCGCGGGAGGGTGGCGGGACGCGTCGCGGGAAGCGTTGCGGGTGCGCGTCTCTGGGAGGCGACGACAACGACATCATCATTTTCGAATGGTTCGTCATTTATGCCCCAAAAGCGTCGGTTCTCGCCCTCTTCGTCTGTGAACGTGCCCCCTTTAGGGGGACTCCTTGTCTCCAGATTTTGGGTAAAGCTCGACACGGTAAGACGGGCGGGTCGGGCGGGCCAGCCTTCGGTGCGGATTCATGCTCTTCTTCTTCTTCGCGGGCCCTGCCCCGCGATCAGCACCGCGACCCATTCGCGACCCACCCGGCACCGCTATTCAGCCGCGACCTCTCCGCGACCCTCCCGCGCCGCGACCCGTCCGCAGCAGTTCTTCACCAACTCGGTTCATGCGGCTGGCTGGCTCACCCGCGGTGCTTCTATCTCGGGGCTCGTGAGACGAGGGTCAGCGCAAACGGGGGCCAGTCAGAGGGCCTGATCTTGCAGGATCCTGCGGAGCCAGGTGTGCACTGACCCGGACTTGTGTGCAGGATCATGCAGGATCCTGCATTCTTTGGCAGGATTTTGCAAGGCCCGACTGACCCTGGTCTGGGTTGACCCGGGTCAGTCGAGCCCCGACTTGTCAACAAGTCGGCGCTTGCGGTGGCTTCTTTTGCATTGATCTTGGCGATCATCATTGGACACCTCAGCGCGGGCGTCCCGTATGTCAGATATTCTTCAGAAGTGAGAGCCCCACGTCAACCAGGCTCTCAGGGACAGTGGGGAGCATCGGAAACATGAGGAGCAGAATGAACCAGGAAGATTGAGACGAATCCAGTAGGAGCATAATGACTGGGAGGAGGACAAATATGCAAAAGGTTTGGGATCAGATTATAGAACCGAGGATGCTTAGAGAGGCCCGAACGGTACCGTGCTGAGGCAAATTCTATAAATCCTCGCAGGACGCCACCTGCGCAAACTTTTCCACCAGTTCCCTATTGCGCCATAGAGCCCGAGAATCTCGGGCAGCAGGCCCGGCGCGCCCGGCGTCGAACGTCGCGAGGCGACGTTGGTGTTGCAGCAAGCACTGCTGCGCTGGCGCCGAGGATTGCCCAGCATGCCGCCAGCCGCTCACGCTCCGCGCGCCGCCGCGCCACCGTCCAGATGCGCGACGGATGCTTTGGTCCGTCTGTCCTTCGTTCTCTAAGTGTTGGACTTCGCTAACGACACCACGGCTTCCAGAGGGGCATCCCGCTCCATTTCCGTCAGAGCGGTGGCGGCTCCAAGAGTCCCATCCTCGCCGTCGTGATCTTAGTTGCATCGATTCGTCCATTTTGAAAAGCAACACGTACCGTGCTCAAAACGCCCGTGTCAATATACGTTGCATGTTGGCTCAGCGTATTGGCCCACGTTTTGGTGAACGTATCGCGTCATACCTACGTTTCCAGTCTACGTGTTGAGTTCAGTATCGATACACGTGTTGCCTGTTGCGTATCGGCGCATATAAGTCCAGGTTTATGCCAATCCGATCGATCCGATTTGATATCGGCTCTGGCCGGCCCGATTCGATGCGATTCCGATGTTCGGGCGATCGGATGCGGCCCGATGCTTGCATGGCTTTTACATGCATCCTGGCAGCGCCGATCCGATTCGATTCCGACTCCGAGCCACTGCGGTCCGATTCTATCCACGTTCCGATCAGATCCCATTCCCCGATTCGATGCTGACTGTCCCTGGCTTGACTATGGGCTTGAGGGAACTGGGGCGCCTCGGCGCACCGCCCCCGCGGCCGCAGGCCATGGAGCAGTTCCCGGCGGCGCTGAGAGCCATCAGGGACAGGATCGGCCGCCCCCCCCCTCCCCAGGATTCAGTTTCGTTGAACCGATTCCTAGCCCTATGCCCATCCCCATCATCCCGAGCCCCACCATCCCACCCTTTTAGAGTTGGGGCTGTGCCCCTCGAAACCCGACGAGAACAGCCCATATTTTCATCTAAGTAAACCGTCCAGTGGGGCCGAGGCCACTTGCGGCGGGTGGCTGGGTTCTCGCTCTCCTGGGTTCCCACGGTCGAGTCGTTCCCACGGTCGAGTCCCCACCCCCTGAGCCGGTCCCTGAGACGATCCACGCGGTGCCCGAAGCCAGCGCCGACGTCATCACGACGTGAACTTGCTGTGTAGCGATTCTGTCCGGGCCACTCCCGGACCACCTGGGGGATAGCCAGGCGGACCACCAGGAGGCGAACCAACCAACCAACGAACCATCCCACCAGAGTGCCCGCCAACCGACCGACCATCGAACCCACCAATCGACCGACCAACCGAACAATTTTGGCAACCCCCTTGCACGGATCGCGCGCCAGCGACCAGAATAAGTTTTGGAGATCACTCGGATTTGCCTGCGAACCTGAGAGAATTTGAGCCCTCCGAAAAGAGTTGTGCATGCCGCTCCGTCGGGGGCCAGAGCCCAGGACCAGAAGACTGCGGACCGGGGGCAGGGGACCAGGGACCAGGGACCGGACAGGGCACGGGGCCGAAGAGCTCTTCCATTGCGCATTGCCGCCCGTGCCGCCTCGTGGGCGCATCGCGCTTGGGACTTTTTCCGAAGTTGCGCCACGTTACCGCCCGTGCCGCCTCGTGGGTGCCCTGTGCTTTGAGCTTGCGCAACAGAGCTTGCAGCACATGGCTTACATCACAGAGCGTGCACCGCACGTACCGCACCACATAGCTTGCATCACATAGCTCCACCCCGTAGTTTCCACCTTCAGCTCGCACCGCCTAGCTTTCACGACGTAGATACCACCTCGTCAGTTATACCGCATAGTTCTCACCTCGCCAGCTCACACCACATAGTTTTCACCACAGAGCTAACACCGCATATCTTCCAACTCCAGTGCATTAGCACATTGTTTTCACGCTTGCTAGCATTTATTTCCTCCAAAATGTGAAAACTGACCACATCGAGGCTCAGGAGAGAGCGGGCGGCTTTCCGACCACGCGTTCGAGGAGGGGATGGGGTCGGTCTTGCAAAACACTCGAGGAACTTCTTACCAAACAGCACAGGAGCATTATAACACGCCCCAACGTGCACAATGCATGGTGGCGGATACCTTACAGTCAAAACGCTGAAGCAAGGACCGCTTTGGGCTCAGAGGGTGGAGCTTTGGATTCCGGATCGCTCCTCAGATCGAGGTCTGGGAACACAGTCGTTGTTGAGGCTCGCCGTGGCTAGAAAAGCTCCTTCGTTTATTGAATCGCTTCGCTCATTCCGCCAGCCCATTTCGCATCATTGTGGCTGCGTGGTAGTGTGCTCGTACCCAGCAGAGGGCGCCAAGATGGCTCAAGAGAGCTCTAGAAGAGTTTCGAGACGTACCTGGGTTGTGGGTCAAAGTCCTTATGGATGCGTTTTGGGGTCTCCTCAGAGGGAGCCTATGGGAAGCCTCCTGGGGGCTTCTTGGTGGGCTCTTGGGGCTTCCTTGGGGCCTGTTGGGAGTCTTGGGAGCCCCTTTGGGGGCCTCTTGGGAAGGGAGCAGAGGAGGGACAGCATGAATAGAGGATGGAAGCCTGAGGAGGATGAGTAGGAGGAGGACGACGAGGACGAGAACGAAACCGATCAGGAAGAGGTGGAGGAGGAGGAGGAAGCGGAGGAGGAGGAGGGAGGAGGAGGAGGAGGAGGAGGAGGAGGAGGAGGAGGATCGAAAGCGCGGGTGCCAGCCTCGGCACCTGGCCCCGATCGCTGAGGCCAGGCACTCCGACCAAGGCGGCCCTCCTCTACGTGCAGGTCCGCCGCGGGGGAGTGGCCGCAGGGGGGCGGCGGCGTCGGGGCGGACAGGCGAAGGAGAAGCGCAGGGGCTGGATGAGACAGGGGTGCGGACAGGGGGCGGATTTTGGCAGCCGTCAGTCGTCTGCCTGTCCAAGTCGTACTCTCTATCATGCGTCTTCGCTTCCTGGCTCGGTTCTTAGTGCGTGCCCCCCCGATGGTACGAGTGTTATTCGATTCGGTTTGGGGAGTCCCTGGCCTGTGGCCCCAGCTTATTTGCCAGGACCTTGCGTGGCTCCGCAAAATCGCCCCCCCGTCGGACCCGCCCCATGGCGAATGGATGCCCTTTTGGCTGAAGATGGTCAGGAACTACCCCCGACGATTTGTGAGGCTTGTGTGGATTGCAGGTGCACGGGTTAGGTATCAGTGGCAGGAAGAATTTGGATGTGAAATGTGGAGGAGTAGACTCACTGAGGCCAGCAAGGGTATGGCCAACGGTTCAAGTCTGACCAGCGCCATCGCCATGCCGCTGCCAATGGAAAGAGTCAGGGGAACCCCACTTGCTCCCCCTTCCCCTGTTGCTCTCAAGCCCGAGGATGCCACGGAAGCCCAGATTCAGGTAGCGGACTCCCATTACGTCTGTAATTTGTGTGGCTTCACGTCTGAGCAGGAGCAAGTTGTAAGAATCCACATCGGGGAAACACATAAGACTGAAGCCAGCCCGACTGCGTTTGTCACGGGGACGGTGTGTCCTTTTTGTGTCACCCAGTTTTGGGATACTGCGAGGCTGTTGAAGCACATTCAGAGTGCGGCCAGCTGCCGTATGTGTTGGCTTAATTCCCCGCTGCGCCCTTCTGAGGAGGAGCTGGCGGAATGCCTAGCGAAAAGGCAGGCAGTGAAACGTGTGAACCGATCCAAGGGCCTGTCGGAATGTTTTGCCCATGTTCCCGCGGTGAAGATTGCGAAGCCCGCTTTCCGCCCCCTGGTCCGTATCCCCAAGCAGCCAAAGGTAGCTCTGCCTGCCGCCGTTGTTGCGCCTCGGGACACCCCCGTGCAGACTGGGCCAACCATGGCCCCCGCCCCCCGTCCCATGCTCGTACGTTGTGTTTGTGGTTTACAGAGAGAGTCACAGCAATAATGCCATGCGAGTGTTTGCGGAACAGCCATTATGGCGAGAAGACCGTGTGTGGCCCATTGTGCTTGAGTGCGCGACTACCGGCTCCACGGGCCTACTTTCCCCTTACGCGATTGCTACGGTAGGAAAGTTTATTAAGGAGGGGAAAGTCGCGCGCCTGTATATTGAGTACACTTTAACGAGCTTTGTGCAAGCCTCGCACCCCATGGATGCGCTCCCCGAGGGCCTCACTCCTGTTAGAATCGCCGTGTCCCCATGGGGGTGCGTTCAGGCCAGTGATTGTGTGAGGAGTTGGATGGCGAGAGAGAATATTTGGTTACGTTCGTGCACCGAAATGTGGGTGCGATGCGTGGCCCAGGACGTCCCTGCCTGTTGGATCCTCCCCGTGTCTCCTGCGGTCGACCCTACTGCCCCTGTCGCTGGAATGCCCCCCGAGGTTGCGGCCCTCCCGAGGCTTCCTGGATGTAGGGGGGCCCTGCTGGACACGTGCCCGCCCGTTGACCCGGCCGTTGCCCCCTCGGTGGCCCTCTGGGGGGCCTGGCCTTCTGGCGTGCCCTCTCCCCCCCCCGCGGGCCAGGGGCAGTTCTCACATGCTGATCCGATGCGTTGTCTCAATCACCGCTTGCGCCTCTCGTGCTTTCGTGAAAGAGCGGGTGGGGCTACGGCGCCTTCGGCGACCTCAAGGCCGCTCGGGGACACGGTGGGACTTGTTACTAGTCTATGCAGTGCGGCAAGCATGCGACTACGCAACGCCGACATCACACCTAACATGCGGGGGTGCGAGGAAGGGGCAACGCGCAATGAAAAAGGGGAGGGGGCCGCCCTTGACTGGGTTTCCGACCGCAATGCGGCGGGAGCTTGCACGATACGGGTTGAAAGTGCCCCCGATTTTCAGCTGAGCGCATGCCCCTCAAGTGCACTGCCACTGCATGAGGTCCCCTGTCTGGTGACAGGAGGAGTCCAATGGGGGGACGGTATTGTGTTCACCCGCGACCCTAAAGTCCAGAAGGCGCATCTGGACGCGTGCTGGGGAGGGGAGGCCGCCTGGGGCATGGTGTCGGGTATTGCCCCTGGCCCGACCCCCTCGCCGACAGGACCGCCTTTTCCTGGAGTGGCAGTCGGGCACTCTGAAAGGGACTCGATGGCTGCCCCCGCGTCGGGGTCGCCCTGAACCCCCCTCCTCTTGCGTGAATTCGGAATTCTGCGCGTGACTTTCACCTTTTCATCTTCTGGCACGGGCTCAAACTTTTAAGCCCCAAGGAGCGAGCGAGGAGGAGGGGGGGGAGGAGGAGGAGGAGGAGGAGGAGGATCGACAGCGGGACGGAGAACCGGGCAGGCGAAGGAGGGGGGGGGCGAGGCAGGAGGAGGAGGAGGAGGAGGAGGAGGAGGAGGAGGAGGAGAAGGAAGGATGAACATGAGGAGGAGGAGGAGGGGGGGGGAGGAGGAGGAGGAGGAGGAGGAGGAGGAGGAGGAGGAGGAGGGGGAGAGCAAGGCGTCTGGTTCAGGCTAGCCCTGTGGGATCGGGGGCAGCCCAGGCGGCTGAAGTCTTGCGCAGCCGCAGCTCGGCCTGCTCCATTGCCTGCCGGAAAGGGCGCCCGCTGGCAGGCGCCAACACTACCGCGGCGCGCCCATCAGGGACACGCGTCTATTTGCCAAAGTTGGCGTTTTGCTAAAGGCATCCCTTCAAATTGGGCGGAATCCGGGCATGTGAGACACCCCTGCTTGGCACCCCATCGGGTGATTCAAATGACAGGACAGGCGCGCCTGCTTTTTTTCACGAGGGCGTTGCAAAGACATTCCCACAGCTTGGGGTAGAACGGTCCTGTCAAAAACTCATGGTCGTCACCCTTTGTGTTGTCCAAGTGTAGTTTTTGCTCTTGCTATATCGCCTCGTGACCATGGGGCCTGTCCAACACCCCTTGGATTGTCCAAGTGCGAAGACGCGCGTTTAATTTTCCAAACGGTCGACTCACTGGATACATCCACAGCATGTGGGCTGATTAGACTGGGCAAGTGACACCCAGTCACCCTGTGGGTGGTCCAAATGCCACGCTTGCTAAGTCGCGGGGGCCGTGGGGCGCGTCTGCCTTCCAAAGTGGGCGCTTCGCTCGAGAAGCCCCCGCGATCTGGGCGGACAGCGGGCGGGGTTCTACATGCGAGCGCGTCCAGAGGCCAGGGGGTGCAGGTCCAGGCCTCGAAGTAAGATAGGGGAAGATGGATAGTCATGTTCTCGAGGGTTGGGAAATGGTGGACAACATTGTGCATGTCCGAAGGTCTGCGCAGATTTTACGCAATCCGCTTGCATGAGCGATCGCGCCGGCGCATGAGAACGCCCGCGCGTGAATGCTGGCAGTGCTCGAGACGACGCGTCTCCCTAATATTCGCGGGTGTCAGGCACGGGCTCTGGGCGTGTTGACGCACGCGCTTTTCTGCCATAGTCCGCCCGGTGCCCGTCTGACTCTGCAGGGGAGGTGGAGTCTGGACGGGGGGCTGCGAGGCGACTGAGAAAGCGGACGACGACGACGAGGGGTCAGGATGGAGGGGGATTGTAGGAGGCAGGCGTAGAATACTCGAGGCCTGGAAACGCAGCGGCCGTCAACGTCTTGTCGCCAAAAAATGCGTTACCCGCGCGATGTCTGCGATTTGCATTCACGCGCGCCCAGCGCCCTCGGCGGCCCGAGGAGCTCCGAGACCCAACCGAGCGCGCGATGCGACGGGGCTCTTCATGTGGGAGCGCGTCATGGTGGGGCCTCGCGCAGATGTATTTGGGGAATTCCAAGCGACCCCAGCGGCTATTCGATCGGATTCGTTCGACGCGGCATCCGACGGAGAGGGCGCGCGCGGGAGGCATTGTAGAATCGCGCCCGCGCGTCGACGCGCGCGCCGCCCTCGGGGGCGTCGAGGGGGGCAAGCGCCAATGCGTGAACGGGGGGGGGGCGGGGGGCCAGCGGCGGCGGCACTTCGCGGGCCCCCGCCGGCAGCGGCGCGCATCGGTATTTTGGGCGCGCAGTTGTCGCGCAAGCGACGCGGCGCCAAGTCGACGCAGGCCGCGATCGCGCAGGGGGCGCGGCGCCGCCGCTGCAGCGCGCGCCTGCCCGCCAGGACGTCCGCGCCGCGACGGCGGCGCGCGCCCGCGCCTGGGGCCATCGTCGCGCTCCGGGAGGGGGCGCGCTTGGCCGCGTCGGACATTCAGCGTCGCGGCGGCGGGGGCTCGCCGCGCATCCCTAGGGGGCGCCGCGGCCCAGGGGTCGCGCGCGGTCGGGCTCTCTGGGCCACGCGCCACGGGGCCGCGCGTTCTCGGGCCACGCGCGTCAAATCTGATCGCGCAGCGGGGCGCGGCGAGGCCAATTGCGCGGGCGAGGCCGACGAGCGAATTCTCGCGCTCGCTCGAACCTTCCATTCGATTGGCGGCCGGCGAAGCCACGGCGCCCCTCGGCTGCGCGCGGGCTTCGGGGTCCAGCGCGCCAGGGGCCGCCGGGCCGCGCGGCCGGGCGGCGGCGGCGGCTGCGAAGTGGCGCGTGCTCGAGTGCTCCCGCTCTCCGCTCAGCGAGTTGGCAGACGGCTATACGCGTCGCCGCGCATCCCCGACTGCGCCGCCGGCCCCCCTGGCCCCCGAGCGGCGGGGTCCCAGGCAACCCTGCCGATCGACCTCGGGAGGCGTCGAATCATGGGGCGGCAAGGCAAAGGAAGGGCCGTCGGAGGTTCGCGAGCGAAGCGGGGCATTGCGCGCGGGCGGCGCAGGCGCGCAATAATGGCCAAACTGCTTGCTCACGCACGCGCTGCGCGCGAGGCTCTGAGGGCCTCCCGGCCTGCGCCCCCGTGCCCGAGCGCGTTGGCTCGCGCGCCGCGGCGCCGCGCATCGGCGACCCGGCCGGCGGGTTGCCCAGCCCGTTTGTCCGAGCGGCGCCGTGGCCAGGCGGGGGATTGAATGCTGGGCATCGTTTCAGGGTCGTGCATTTCGACGGCGGGCCTCGCTGGCAGGGTTCCCCGCGCGCCCCTGGCGCTTCGGCTCGATGCGCAGCGGCGTTATTTCGGCCAGTTTCTTCTCATGTGTCTTCGGGATGAAAATCTAAGTCTTCGCATTGAGAATCGTCTAAAACGTTTCTTCGCGGAGAATCGTTTACTTCGGCGCCGCGGCGAGGTTATTGCGGTCGGAAATTTCGATGGCGCTGCCGCGCCAAACTCGCTGCGTGGGCCATGGGCAAATTTGGGCGGCGGGTCGCCGTGCTTAGATTTTTGTACCAATCGACGTCAGAACATTGCGCCTGTGGCGCGGAAACAACGGCGACGCTCGAGCGGACGACGCGCGCGAACAAGTATGCGCGCGCGGCGCCCGACGCACTTTTTAACGGCCCGACTCGCGGCGGCAGGGGCCCGCCGTCGAGCGTCCACGCGGCGCGCCTGTCGCGTGGCCCGCGTTCGCAGCGGCCCAGCGATGGGCGGGCGTTCGCCCCGGCCACCCGCCCGCGCGCGCCCCCTGACCCGCTGCCCCCGTGAACAAGTCGTGCCCGACATGCCGGGCGACCCGCGGGGCGAGCGGCGCAGCGTTGGCCGCTGGCCGAGGGGTCCAGCGGCCGCGCCTGCCAGGTGCCCCAGCGGCCCCGCGGCGCGCTGGCGTTGCTTTCGAAGCCGACTGACACAGTGGCTCAACGGCCCAAACCCGGGTTCCCATTCAGGAGAACGCCCCCGCCTGCGCCGCGGCGCGTTTGCTTCTTGCGGCGCGGCGTCCGCCAGTTCAGCGGCACAATGACGCGATGCGCCGCGCGCCCCTCTAGCGCGCTGGAGCTGCGAGCGGCATGCCCGGAGTTTTGCGGCGGATTCCAGCGCGGGGCCCATTGGATAATTGCAGACGTGAGCCAGCAGCCACGTGGCCTAGCGGCCCTGCGCGCCAGTGACCCAGCGGGCGCGGGTCCACGGCGAGCCAGGGCGCCACTTGCCCGGCTGCCCTACTCCCGGGGAGGGGGCGAATGACGCAGCGGTCAAACGCCCCGACGGGAAAGTGGTCCGCTGCCGTGGCGGGCCTGGCCCTGGAGCAGATCGGCCGAGTTCCGACGGTGCGATTGTCTCGTTGCCTCGCGGCTCAATGGCGCAGCGGCGCGCGACGCAGAGACCCAGTTGCGCGGCGATTATCTGTCCACCTCGCGCGACTCGGTGGCCCACAAAACCCAGTGCGCCAAGTGCCATGTGGCCCTGCAGATCGTTCCCCAGATTGGGCGCGGGCACAACGGCCGAGTGATCCTCGATGCACCGTGGTCCTCAGGAAGGTTGCCTGGGCCGCCTGCAGGGATGGGACCCTCACCGCGGCGGCATAGGAGTTTGACTGACGCATTGCGCAGGTGGCGTTTCGGAGTTGCGGGTCGAAGTCTCTGGGTGGGGGGTGGCGGGCGGTCTGCGCGCGCTCTAGTTCCGAATGTTCTGGCATTGGCGCGACGGGTTCTTGCGAAACTTCGGTTTCTGACAAATTGTTTTATAGTGTTGGCTGGGCTGGTTTCGTAATTTGGCCTTTTGTAAAATTATCCCCGCCTGGTGGCGCATCGGCATCAAAAGCTCTCAAGATCAGACCCCGTCGAATCCCAAGACGCCTTCGCAATCTTGGCATGCGTTCTGGGCATGTACGACACCCATGGACATCGCCCACTTGGGCGATCCAAGTGCCGCGCTTGCTGCATCTGCCCTAGGGCCTGGGAGAATCCGCGCGTATGTCGAAGTTGCGTTTCGCTTCAGACATTCCCAACATGTTGGCGCGAATGGGCGCGTGAAACACGTCTGGCCAGCAGGCTGGTTGGGCGGTCCAGATGCCATGCTTGCTACATCGCGGCGCGCGAGTCTGAGAGTGAGTCATGTTAGCCAGGTCGAGGGAGTCAGAGGGCCCCACCCGCGCCCGCATCCCCTCCAATCGCATACGATTTAATTCATTGTGGCGCAGTCTGGACTCGTTTGGAAGGCGATTCCCGCCTAGCGTACGGCAGGCGCTGACCCACATAAGTCCCTCTTGGACCGTTTCGGAAGCCTCTTGGAGGCCTGTTGGATTGCGTTCTGGCCTCATTGCCGAGAACAAGGTCAGTCAGCATATACTGCGAGCCACGCGGCACGCCCCAGGATACTTGCGAATTGCGGGTCGTGGCAGTTTAAGAAGTAAACAACATATTCAGCACGGAGCACCCGGAGGGGCCTCGCGACATTCTATTCAGTGGCGGCGGGGGAAAAATGGCAGGCCGATAAAGCCGCGAAGGCGGCAATGAACTCTTTTGGGCATGCACAAACTCGAAAATGCGGCTTCCATGGGGGGGTGGGGCGGAGGAGCAGTGGGGAAGAGCTGGGGCAGAAGGAGGCGGAAGGGGGGCAGGAGGAGAAAGAGAGGCGTAGTCCAGGAGGGAACAATAGACACGGACACGCGTAACCGTCGATTCCCAGGAGACTATGGGGAACGATTTGGGGAGACGAACGTCCAGAAACTATGAAAATTGATGGGAGGCATTGGGAATTGGGTGTGCTCATGTGTCTCTCTGGGCCCCTTTGGTAACAAACACGAGGACGTGGGGCAGGATGTCTGAGGAGGAGGAGGAGGAGGAGGAGCGAACACTCCCTCCCGACTCACCCTGGCGTGCGCAGCTGGGCCCCTGGCCGCCGTACATCAAGTACGTGGTGAAGAGCGCCGCGGCAAACGTTGGCGCGCCCTGCCAGCGCAGGCAGACATGAACGCATGCTTGCCCTCGCTCAGTCTAAACTCATGGGACGGATTGCGGCCAGGGGCGTTTGCTTAACGTGTCGCGTCACCAGTTTTGGCCCACCTCATTTGTGTGCGCCACGCGAACCACGTCATAGCGCCCAAGCGGGAACGCTCCGAGTTGTTTTGCTCCGGGCCTCCCGTCCTGAGAAGCAGAGCAACACGCTATCAGTTTGCAAGTCGTACCATGCCGCAGGGGTCGCCGACGCGACACGCTCGGCAAAAGTTCCTGACCACAGCAATGTTCCACCGGTGCGCTTGTATCCTGACTTCTTCGGCTTATCCTGAGGTATGTTAGCTTGGGCTTTGGCCGTGCAGAGCTCGGATGGTTTCAACTCGGGTGTGCAGGGGGCTGCATCGGTACAGTGCATCCATCTATCCAATCTTGACTGTGTTTCTGTTGGGGTGGGCCCATCTGGGCCCGTGCTCGGCGCCATGGACGTACGCGGTTCGAGTCGGGAGTGCATTTGGGCGCGGTCCGGGAGCGGTTCGAATCCATCTTTTCCTCTGAGCGCATTCGGCGTCGCAGCCGCAGACGGCCACGACGCGGAGCCAGGATCGAGCCCATGAGGCGGCCGAGCGGTGCCCATCCGATCGCCCCATCGGAAAGGAGCCCATTCGGATGCTCGCTCGGCGACCGAGTGGGCTCAGCCTCAGAAGGGGGTCTGGCCCGCGCAGTATCGCTCGAGGGTGATGTGATGCGAAAATCTGAGCCGCATCAGTACGGGCTGCTCGCCATCTGAGAGGGGTCATTTCGACTCCTCGGGTTCGATTCGATTCGATTTCGATGGCTTCTGGTTGCGATTCGATTCGACGTCGGACTTCGATTTGGACTCCGATTGTTCCATGGATCCGTAGTAGCCTTCTCATTTCCATCGATTCGACTTCTGCCAATCCGATTCATCGATCGCCGATCCCATTTATCGACTCGATACTGGGCCCTCCTGCCTGAGCCTTGGAGTGGAAAGAGGGCGCCGGGAGGGATGGGGAGGGACTTCTGATAGAGGGAGTGCCGCACAGCAAAATGACCGAAGCGTCGGCGACGGCGCTGACTGGAAGAGCACCCCGCGCAGCGCGTCCTGGCCCGCGACGCAAGTGTGGCATCTGGAGGATGGGGAGTGAGAGGGCGAGAGTCCTTCAGGGGCAACCTTCATGGGCACCGACAGGAGGGGGGGGACTGCCCTAGGGCGGAAGGAGGCATCGGCCCCCATCGCCCATTCATCGACAGTCGTGGCATGGGCTCCCTTTCCCGTCCAGTAACGTGCGACTTCGCTCTCGAGGGCTTGTCGCCGATTCATCGGCGATGTATCGCCGAATCCAATGTGACGTTTCCCCCCCTCAGCCAGTCCCCCTGTCGTTCGTCCTCAGTCCTTGCGGGCAAGAGGCGTGAACAAGTCGAAGCGTTGGAGGTATGGGCTGGCCCTTCCTCCCTCCCTTCTGTTCCCGAAAGTGAGCCCCCGACGAGCGACCCGTTGCCGCCAAATTTGGAGTATTGTAACAGATGTCGCGGCCGCATCCCCGTACCAATTTAGGCTCACGTCCTTTTGCACAACGTGCGAGTTCAAGCCAAAACAGCTTGTATCGAAGCAACCGTGCATAGGGCATACAGACTGTGAGACCGACTTGTGGCGATGGTGGTTGCTACTTGCGATGGGCATTCCATATGCTGGGCGAGGTATGAGAACGGGATGGACAGCCTCACGTTGAGATTCTTGGACCCACTGCAAGAGAAGGGATTCGCGCATACCCTGAAGCCGCGCCTATGCCAAACCATCACGCAGTTGATGGCCACCCTCTGCTTCGTCCTTGTTGTTGCCACGCTTGTGTTCAGGTTCTGGGACGCCTCCCAGTATCACACGGCGGACGCCTACAAGCTGAGCAGATGGCAGATGTTATTATTATTCGGTTCCGTGGTGCCCTTGATCATTTTCCTTGGCATCGCGAAAGTCCTTGCCATGTACGAATTCATTGGCACCTTGGCTTTGGAGATCTTGGTTGTCAGTTCGTGCGTTTGCGTTGTGATATGTTTACACCTTCTCCCGAAGCACTACATGGCACGAGCGTTCGGTTACAAGGACCCCGAGGCCGTATGGGGCGCTGAGTTGGACGGCACCGACGGCATGGTGGTGATTTTTATAGATGGGCTCTCCACTGCTCTGCATTTGCTCGTGCCCATCCGGTGGTCGTGCCTCGTTCCCATGGAGGCCGTTTTGGTCTTGGTCTACCCCGTGGCCGTGCAGCTGCTCGGCAGCCCGTGCCCCCACATGGTGCCCTTCAATGTTTTAGGGCTTTTTGGGCTCACGATACTTGCCGGGATGGGGAAGCGTGCTGTGGAGAGCAAGGAGCGCACACTGTTCGTGGGGCTTCTGGTGGAGAAGCAGATGCGCTGCCAGGCCGAGTTCCAGCTGTCCCAGACAGTCGGACGCCCGCCCTCGAGAGGCGAAGATCTCGGATCGGAGGAGTCCGCTAGAGCATTCGCTGGCTTGTCACAGCCAGGGATATCCAAAAGTGAAATGGCCTTCAACCTCAATCTTGAGCATGCGTCGTTTGAAGATATCCGTGCCATTGGCAATGCAGAACAATGGCTTATCGCCAACGACGAGGTGGAGCTCTTGCCTGGCAGGGTTCTCGGAGAGGGCGGCTTTGGTGTCGTTGCGCCTGCCGTATACCAGAACGTCTTAGTGGCTGTGAAGGCGCCCAAACAGGACATTTTGTCGAAGGGTTTGTTCGCGATCTGCAACGAACTCCGGATTATTCAAGAGGCTTACGCCAGTCCGCCGATCCCCAGAAAAGGCGGGGAGTCCATGGTTTAGGCGTCGTGGGCTTCTTGGGCACTATCTGGGGTCTCTGGTGGGCGTCCTGGGAGCTGTTCTGGGGCCTAGTGGAGCCTCTTGGAGGCAGTTTTGAATCGTCTTGGGGACCGTTTATGGGCATCTTTCGGGCCTCTAGGGTGCCTTTTTGAGCTTATCGGGTGCTTCTTTTGGGCCGCTTGGAGTCTCTTGGGGCCTTTGGCAGGCCTCTTCAGGCGGAGGATCGGATTTTCGGTTCGAGTTCTCCCTCTTGGTCTCTCTTGGCGCCTTCTTGGAGCGATACTTGGCTTTCTTGGGCCCGTCTTGAAACACTCTTGGGCCGTCCTGGGGCCCTCGTCAGAGCCTCCTGGGCCGTCTGGGGGCGATCTATACGGGTCATTTTGGGCCGTCTTGGAGCGTCGGAAGCTCGTGGAGATTAGAACCCCCAAGACAATGCACAATTTACTCAAAACCAATTGTTGTTGTCCTTGGAACCTTCTTGGTAAGACTCTTGGGGCGTCTCGACGGCGACTGCCGCGGCGGGCGGCGGCGGCGGGGAGCATCGACGAGGACGATGGTGGTGGCGGTGGTGGGTTGTGGTGGCGGTGGTGGCGGTGGAGGTGGTTGTGGTGGTGGTGGTGGTGTAGTCGTTTGTTGTGGTGGTGGTGGTGGTGGTTGTTGTGGTGGGTGGTGGTGGTGGTGGTGGTGGTGGTGGTGGGGTGGTGGTGGTGGTGGTGGTGGTGGTGGCGGTGTTGGTGGTGGTGTTTTGTGGTAGTGGTGGTGGTTTGTGGTGGTGGTGGTGGTGGGTTGTGGAGGTGGTGGTGGTTTGGTGGTAGTGTGGTGTTGTGGTGGTGGGTGGGTTGTAGTGGTGGCGGTAGTTTGTGGTTGTGGTGTGGTGGTGGTGGTGGTGGTGTGGTTGTTTGTGGTCTGCTGGTATTGGTCGTGGTTGTGGCGGTGGCGGTGGTGGTGTGGTAGATTGTGGTGCTGGTAGTAGTGATTGTGGTGGGTTTTTGTGGTGGTGTGGTGGTGGTGGTGTGGTGGTGGTGGTGGTGATGGTGAGTTGTGGTGGTGGTGGTGGTGGTGGTGGTGGTGGTGGTTGTGGGTTGGTGGTGGTGGTTGAGGTGGTGGTTGGTGGTGGGTGGTGGTAGTGGTGGTGGTGGTAGTGGTGATAATCGTCGCTGCGTCCCCGCCGTCGCCGGCGCCAGCGCCGGCGCTGCTGGCCGCCGCCAGCGCCGGCGCCGGCGCCGGCGCCAGGGGGGGGGGTGGGTTTGAACCCCCCCCCCTTTTCGGTTGCCTCTGGTCATCATCACTGCGTCCCCGCCGTCGGCGCTGCTGGCGGCCGCCAGCGCCAGCGTCAGCGCCGGCGCCGAGGGGGGGGGGGGTGAACCCCCTCCCCCCTTGGCAGGAGTTGGGGGGGGGGGTTCGGGAGGGGGGGTATGGGGAGAGGGGGAGCCCCCCCTGGTTTCGATCGACGGCGCCAAGTGTTGGGGGAGTGTTGGGGGGGGGCCCACCTCTTGGTTCGAAACGCGCCGCCGAATGTTCCAAAGGCAACCGCCCATGATACGCGCTCTCTCTCACGCCATCTTCACCCGAATCCTACCGCGGCAAGGGCCCGCGGGGGGGCCCGCCGAATTGAGTCCTCAGGGCGGGAGCTACGGCGGGCCCACAGGGGGAATTCTACACGCAGATGTTGCAGTCAGTGGGTGTGAGGCAGACTGCCTCGACGAGGGTCGGCACCAATCGTTGCCATGTGTCTCGGGGGCGTGTGCGCGCCGCTTGGGGGATCGGGCGGCGTGGAGGCCAGGCATGCTCCCTTTTTGGGGTCCGCAGGGCACGAAGTGCGAGATGGGTGCGCCGAGCGGAGGCTCCAAGGAGTCGTCTCGGGGGCCAGGTGAGCACCCCACTTGCAGGAAGTGAACGAGGGTTGTGCCGAATGGAGGCTTCCTGGAGAGCAGCAAAGGCAAACCACTCGTATGCGTTTCGTATCCCATGAGCGTGGAGGCCTAGATCACGCTATTTGTTTCGTGCCGCAGGATCCTGAGAGCACAGATCATGAAATGGAGGAGGGGGCGTGCTGGATTGATGCTCTCCTGGCTTTCAGGGTGCAGCTCACTATTATCTCTACGTCTCAGGAGCTGTGATTCAGTCCTGGCCTGCGTTGGCCGGCCGAACGCGCGAAGTCCTTCTTATTAGCATTCCTTATGCATGTTTCTCCTTCCCCTCCATCACATCTTCCATTTCATCATCCGTCCTCGACGCCTAACGCGGCGAGGGCCCGCAGGGGGGCCACCGAACTAAATAGTTTCTTCCATTGCGCCAGCCCATATTGCACCACAGTTGCAATATGTTGGTGAAACCATGGAGGGCGAGAAGGAGGTTGGGGGACTCGCTCGGGGAAAAGGAAGGGGAACAGGAGGAGGAGGATGAGGAAGAGGCCTCTCGATGGCTTCTTGGGGAACTGTGGGGACCAAACTGGGTCGCGGACAAGATGTCTCTTTTGAACACGTCTTGGGGTCTCATGGGCAGCCTCTTGGGGGCCCTCTCGGCGGCATTTTGGGGACCTCCTGGGGCCTCTTGGGGGCCCCGTGGGGCATCCTTTTGGGCTTCTGGGGGCCTCTTGAGGCCTTCTTGGGAGCTGTTGGCGGTCTGGGAATGGTCGAGACGGCTCGATATGCCTGTTCGGGTTCCCCCTCTCGGGGCCCTCATGGGAGCCTCTGGAGCCCTCTGGGGAGACATCTTTGGCCGTCTTGGAGCCCTCTTGAGCTGTCCCAGGGCCGCCCTGGGAGCCTCTTGGGCGGACTTGTTGCGATCTTGGGCGCCTCTTGGGCCGTCCTGGGCGGTCGGAAGCTCGGAAAGGCGGTAACGCCAAAGCCTTTCCAGAAGGCAAGCGCAAACAATGCATTCCGCCTCATCAGGCCCTCGTGGGGTCGTCTGCGCTCCTGGGCAGCTCCAGGGGCCCCAAGGGCCGCCCCCAGGAGTTCGGGCATCAATATTCTGAATCTCTTACCGTTACCATGGATTTTAGCACGCCTCCGGCCCGTGGGGCCCGCGAATCCGCCGCATTCGTCACCCCAACGTTGCGTTCTTCTACGGTGCGTGCATGGACGTTGCCCTGAGCAAGATTTGTCTGGTGCTCGAGCTTGTCGATGGCGTGACCCTGGGCACATTCATCAAAGGGCTGCTCCGAAGCTCCGGTCACTCGGCGGAGGAGCGCGGTGGAGCACCAGAGGCAAGGGTGCTAGCCAGCAGCGCTGCTACACGGTCCCTGCTCGTCTTTGAGATCCTGAATGCGTTGCGATACCTGCACTCGAAGCAGCCTGTCGTCGTCCACGGTGACCTGAAGGACTCGAATATTTTCGTGGAGCAGTGCCTGAGCAAGAGGGGCCGACGGTCGTGCCGCGCAAAGCTGCTTGACTTCGGCCTTTCACGGATCATCACTCGGAGTGCCAGGCCTTTGGGCGGCACGATGCGGTGGATGGCACCAGAGTTGTTTCAGCGCGACACAGTCCCCCCCGATGCTTCCGCAGACAGCTACTCTTTCGGTTTAGTGACATACTTCATAGTTTCAGGGCGGGTGCCGTTCGAGACAATTGGTTCGGAGAAGATATTGACGATGCTACGGCGGGGCAAGCCGCCCAGTCTGGCGTGGCCAGATGCCGCCGACGAGCTTACGCAGGCCTGCCGGCCAATGGTCCAACAGTGCATCCAGTCCTCGCCTGCCCTGCGTCCCACGATGCGCCAGGTCAGCAGCGGGTTGTCAGCCTTGTTGGTCCATGTCGGTGCCGGGGAGCTGTCGCAGGCGACCCTTGAGTGGGAATTCCCTGGACATTCTCGCGGCGGGAACACAGGGTCGGCTGGAACGGAGCTCGAGGAGTTCAGAGGATTAGTCCGGTTGAGGCATGCTGGCAGCCCCACCGTCGGCTCAATCGTGCCTGTCATGGCCTCCAGCAGCCTGCCTCCCATGCCCGAGCGTGGCGCCCTTCAGCCCAAAGAGGCCTCGGTCAATGCGACAACGTCGCCTCCAGTTAGCCAAGAGGTCGGTCAAGGGCAGCTGGCCCACCCAGACTACATGCCGACGCCGCTGAGCACGCTGCTCCTCACGCTGAGTTATTTGATTCTGCAGTGGAACGTTCGGATACCAGAGAGTTCCTGCTGCTGGCTGCACGGTACTCTGGACACCCTGGACAGGTTGCGGAGCGAGCTCAGCCGCAAGATGTGCAACAACCAGAAAGACACCATGCTCTGCGGCCAATGTACCTCTTGTGGGTTGCTTCTGCAGGACGAATTGTCTTGCGAATTCTGCAAGAGTCGCATAGCAACTGTCGGCGTAGTAGACGATTCCACGCATTCGGACAGCGTTTAGTTGCGGCGGGTATGTGCCGATTGTTGTTTCAGTGCTTGGCCATTGACGTATCGCTATGCATGCTAGTTCTTCCTGGTACACCCCTCACGCCTGTCGTGTCTACTCTTGTCTTGCTCTCCACGCCCTGGCGTTGCTTTTTTCTCTGTTCAGATGCACTGACCTTCTCGGGGCCGAGATGGTGGGTGCATTAGGCTGCGACGCAGGCCACACGCAATGCGCGCGGGTGCGTTGATGCTTCCCCCCCCGTGCAGTCGCTTTCTGTTCGGCGTGCTCCTTGCGTTGTTTGCAGACCGGGCAGTGCACTCAAAGGCACGTCATTCATAGGAGACTATGGGTGTCTCATTTCTTTCTCATCTGCCCTGCTCTCCGAGTTTGCGAACCACCTACAGGTGCCCGTGCTACGTGCTTGGTTTGCAGATCTGGCAGACCACCCAATAGCGCGCCATTGATAGGAGAGTTCCTGCTGCCAGTGCATGGACGCAGTTCGCTCTCATCCGCCCCACTTGCGGACTTGGCGAGCCACCCGCAGAGCGCTGGTGCTAGGATACTTTTTCGACGAAACAGCAGTTGCGCTGAAGGATTTCTAGCAGCTTCTGTCAGGGTATGTACAGTTCCCGCTGCTGACTGCACGGTACTCTGGACACCCTGGGCAGGTTGCGTAACGAGCTCAGCCGCAAGTTGTGCTGTGCAACAACCAGAAAGACACCATGTTCTGCGGCCAATATTCTGCAGGACGAGTTGCCTTGCGAATCCTGCAAGAGACGCATAGCAACTGTCGGCGTAGTAGACGATTCCACGCATTCGGACAGCGTTTAGTTGCGGCGGGTATGTGCCGATTGTTGTTTCAGTGCTTGGCCATTGACGTATCGCCTTGCATGCTAGTTCTTCCTGGTACACCCCTCACGCCTGTCGTGTCTACTCTTGTCTTGCTCTCCACGCCCTGGCGTTGCTTTTTTTCTCTGTTCAGATGCACTGACCTTCTCGGGGCCGAGATGGTGGGTGCATTAGGCTGCGACGCAGGCCACACGCAATGCGCGCGGGTGCGTTGATGCTATCCCCCACCGTGCAGTCGCTTTCTGTTCGGCGTGCTCCTTGCGTTGTTTGCAGACATGGCAATGCACTCAAAAGGCACGTCATTCATAGGAGACTAGGGGTATCTGCCAATGTAGAGACACATTGTTTTCTCATCCGCCCTGGTTGCCGAGTTTGCGGGCCACCTACAGGTGCCGTGCTTCATGCTTGGTTTGCAGACTTGGCAGACCACCCAATAGCGCGCCATTGATAGGAGAGTTCCCGCTGCCAGTGCATGAACGCAGTTCGCTCTCATCCGCCCCGCTTGCGGACTTGGCGAGCCACCCACAGGCGCGCTGGTGCGAGGATACCTTTTCCCCAACCCTCCTATGGTTGGGTACTCGTTTTGAAGAGAGCAGTGTGGTCGCCCCGTCATCCTTCTTCTCCTCCCCACTCCTCCTCTCCTGTTACCTGTGTTCCCCTCTCCTCGCCGTCGGGCTGCGATCTGCGCAACTGTCGCCACTTTCGTGGCTCCTGGGAGGCCCAGCGGAGGTGGGGCCCACGCGGACCACCTCGAGACCTCGCGGTGCCCGGGGGGCTGCAATCTGCGCAATTGTCGACATTCTCGTGGGCTCCTGGGAGGCCCAGCGGAGGTGGGTCCCACGCGGACCACCTCGAGACCTCGCGGTGCCTGGGGGGCTGCGATTTGCGCAATTGTCGCCACGTTCGTGGGCTCTTGGGAGGCCCAGCGGAGGTGGGTCCCACGCGGACCACCTCGAGACCTCGCCGTGCCTTGGGGGTCTGCGATCTGCGCAATTGTCGCCACTTTCGTGGGCTCCTGGGAGGCCCAGCGGAGGTGGGTCCCACGCAGACCACCTCGAGACCTCGCCGTGCCCTGGGGGCTGCGATCTGAGCAATTGTCGCCACGTTCGTGGGCTCTTGGGAGGCCCAGCGGAGGTGGGTCCCACGCGGACAACCTCGAGACCTCGCGGTGCCTGGGGGGTCTGCGATCTGCGCAATTGTGGCCACTTTCGTGGGCTCCTGGGAGGCCCAGCGGAGGATGGTCCCACGCAGACCACCTCGAGACCTCGCCGTGCCTTGGGGGTCTGCGATCTGCGCAATTGTCGCCACTTTCGTGGGCTCCTGGGAGGCCCAGCGGAGGTGGGTCCCACGCAGACCACCTCGAGACCTCGTTGCGCCCTGGGGGGCTGCGATCTGCGCAATCGTCGCCACTTTCGTGGGCTCCTTGGAGGGCGAGAGCGCGCGCGCGCGCGCGCCCCCATGTGCGCCCGCGAGCAATGATGAACGCTTGCCGTTCCACTATGCTGTATCCCGCGCCGAGATCACTAGAATACGAGTGCGACAACTTGGTTGTTTGATTTAGCATTCGAAATTCAGGTGGCCATTTAGCGACGGTTCATACAATGAGCGCGCAGGGGCGCGCGCGCGCCAGCAATGAGGGGCGCGCACTGCGTCGCAATGCTGCGTTCCACGATAAGGCCGTCAATGCGAGTGAACAAATAAGGTTCGCACCTTAGTTTCGAAAGTATGACGGTCAATCGGAACCAGCTATTGCTTTCATTGTGCTCGCGAAAGCGCGCGCGCGCGTGCGCGAGCGAAAGAACGGGCGCGCGCGCGAGCAATGAGGAAACGGGTGTGTGCCAGATTGCGTTATTCCGCGTTGGAGCCCCCAGAGTACAAACAAAGCCATTGGTTGCCACCATTCAGCCATCGAGTTGATGGCGTCTGCATTTCACGCGCGAGTGCCCGCGCGCGCGCGAACACTGAGAGCCGGACGTGGCGCGCCCAGCATGTCATGTCTTCGCCCCAAGGACACGGGTACAATAATTGGTTGTCGCCATTCTGTTCGCGAGATGAACACTGACATTTCGCATTCATTTCCTTGCCGCGCGCGCGAAATCGCCCGCGCGTGCATTTGGGGGATCTTCGCAATTGTTCGGGGGCGACCGCCAGATGTCATGTCGGGCGACCCGCGTCGCCGAGGGCGCCCGCCCGCGCGGGGGCGCCGCTTCCCCGCCATGGGCCAAGTGGGATCCGCCAGGGGTGGGGGCCCTCCGGCATTCGCATCCATGTCGGAGGGACGTCTCAAGCGGTTTGCCCGCTTCTGCCCCCCAAGCGTTTTTTGTTTTGTGGCCCAGCGGCCCAGCGGTCACCGCGATAAAGCAGGCGCGGCACGTGGGCACCCCGTTGTGGAGCCGCCAGGCGTGGGACACTCCAGGATTCGCGGTCAGATTGGGGTGATGTGTCAGGCGGTTTGATTGTTGCTGCCCCCCCAGACTTTTCTTTGGATGTGTGTGTGTGCTCCTCACTCACTCGCTAACATCCTTCCTCTTTTCCCCACTCGGGCGCGCCCATGCTCATTCGGATTTACTCATCCACACCCGTTCCTCTTTCAGATTCACTCATCACACTTAGATTCGCTCATATTCATTCTAAATTATATTCAGGCTCGCGCGCATACTATTCGCTCACGCTCAGATTCGCTCGAACCCAGACCCACCCATACCCAGGCCAACTCACATTCAGATCCGTACGCATTCAGATTCACCAGCCTCCAGACTCACTCATATGCAGACTACCTCGCACCCAGGCTTCCTCATATTCATAAGCGTATTCGTTACATTCAGTTTCAGACTTTCGCACACCCAGACGAAGTCACACTCAGACCCACTCGCATCTAGACTGGCTCGCAGTAAGACTCACACATACTGAGACACACGCGCATTCGCACTGATTCTAAGCAGACTCGTTCGCACCCAGGCCCGATCATACCGTGGTCCACTCAAACTCCGGCTCGCCCGCATTCAGATCACCCACGCCCAGGTTCATCCGCATCGAGGCTCACACACACATGGCTCCCGCGATACAGGCGGGGTGGCACTTGGGCACCCCTAGTACCAGCAGGCGCCGCGAGTAGCACGCCAGAGGTCGTGCGTAGGAACGCCATGCGCGCTTGCCTGAGTCGCCGCGAGGGGAAAAGCGAAGAGAATTCCCCCTCGCTCGTCCGCTGTTGTTTCCCTCGTCTTTCCTGAACGACGTCCAGAGAAGGAGGAAGAGGAGGAGGACGTGATTGAAATCGTCGCTGTCGTCATCTTCGTTGTCGCGCCTGTCGTCTACGCGGACTCGCTCTTACACCCAAATGCTCATAGACAGAGCTCCTCAGCGAAACGTGGCAGGAGTATGAGACGCACATATGGGGATTCCCGCGTCGACCAATTCGTCAGACGGCTCCGAGAACGAACAAACTCGCACCTCCCCACCCACTCCTCATCTTCATCTTCCTCAGCCAGCGAAACACACTCACTGTCACACTCAGTCATGCCCAGATGCGCTCACTCAGATTCATTCGCAACCAAGGTAATTCATGCTTTGACTCTCTCAAGCTCGGACTTGTTCACAGTATGTCCCGCTCACATCCACATTCGTTCTGTTCTTGTTCAGCATCAAAACATGATGATTCAGTTGCACTCAGGCTTACCCGTGGCTAGACGCACTCACTCTCGGATCCGATCACATTCATACCAACTCACACCCACACTCCCCCGATACCCTGACTCAGACGCATACATGATAATTTGGTGGTCCAATGCGCACAACGGTATGGCATGGGTGGCATTAGGGAGCGGGCGCATTCCAGGATTCGCGCCCACTCAGGTGGCCTCCTTGTTTGCATGGCCAACACCTTCTGACTTCGGAGTGGATTCTGAGGACGTCTCAAGCGAGGCTCTGGTTTCAGCACTCCAATGGGGGGGGGGGGCGTTACAGGATAGGACATCCAGGGTTCGCGCCCAGAGTGAGGGTACGTCTCAGGCGGTGTTTTTGTTTGCGCGCCCAACATTTTCTCGAGGGTCAGGACATTGCAGGGTGCCCAGAGGTGTGATGATGTCTCAGGCAGTTTGCCTGTCTGAATGCCCAACATCATCTACGTTCAGCACAACGTGTGGGGATGTCTGGGGCGGTTTGCCCCCCTGGATTTGTTTTATTGGTGGTCCACTGCCCACCGCGTTATAGCCGGCGTGGCACTTGGGCACCCCAAAGCGGAGCCACCAGGGTGGGCACATTCCAGGATTCGCTCCCAGATTGGGGAAGTCTCAAGAGGTGTACCTTTTTTTCGGCCCCCCCCAGATTGTTTCGGGTGGTGTCATGCTCACCGCAACAATGGGTACGCGTGCGATGGCTCTTGCACAAAAGGGAGGGGGAAGGAGGAGGAGGAGGAGGAGGAGGAAGATGATGAGGAGGAGGAGGACGAGGAGGAGGAGGAGGAGGAAGAGAGAGGAGAGAGGAGAGAGGGGGCGAGAAATCCGAGAAGGAGTGTCCACAGAGGGCCGCAAGAAGGGCGTCAGAGGGCGAATTCGAGGAGGCTCTATGGGTCGTCCCCCACGAGATGGCCTCACCTTTAACATTCCCCCCGGAGGCCTCCAACAGACACCCAAGAAATCCACAGAGAATCCCACGAGGTTCCTGGGAGCCCTATGAAGGCATGACGAGGCTCCCTGGGGCGGTGGGTGCGGTGCGACGCCGAAATAAAGTGGTCGGGGCGGAAGAGGGCGGAGTGGAGAGGGCACTGGGCTGCCGCGGAACGCTGGGGTGAGGGCGGTGCGACGCCGAAACGATCGGTCGGGGCGGAGGGGGTCACGCAGAGAGGGTGAGCGCGACGCCGAAATAGAACGGTCGGAGCGGAGGGGGGCGGAGGATCGGGGGCGGAGGATCGGGGGCGGCAAAGAGGGGGGTGATGACTAGGGGGGGGGGGGGATATCATGGCGGGGGCCATGATTTTTTTCCTCAGATTTCATGGCGCCTCTTCTTATTTCATTACGTCCCTGGACCCCCCGCTGGGCCGCGCACATGCCGCCAGTCATGATTTGCACCCCCCCTCTTGGATACCCCCCTCTTGGCCGCTCCCGAGAGGAGGTGGCGAGGGCATTGGGCTGCTGAGCAACGGTGAGGGCGGCCCGACGCCGAAATAGAGTGGTCGGGGCGGAGGGGTCGCGCTGGATGATAATAGTGTGTTGTTGGGTCGGGAGGACAGGGGCGGGTGGGGCGGGCCGGGAGGGTGCGGTACGACGCCGAAATATAGTGGTCGCGGCGGAGGGGTGCGGGGTGGAGAGGGCATTGGGCTGCTTGGGGGGCGGGGGCGGTGGAAGCTGTGCGGGCGATGCGACGCAGAATTCATAAGTGGTCGGGGCGGAGGGGGCGGGGTCGGGGCGAAGGGGGGCGAGGGCGCTGGGCGGGTGGAGAGGGGGGACGGGTCGTGGTGGCGGGGCGGTGGGGGCGGTGCGACGCCCAAATGAAGTGGTCGGGGCGGAGGGGGTCACGCTGGTGGCGGTAGTGTTTGGTCTGGGTGGGTTGGTAGAGGGGCGGGAGGGGCAGGAGGGGCGAGGCGGTGGGGGCGGTGCACCGCCGAAACAAAGTGGTCGGAGTGGGGGTGTGCAAAGGGCACTGG